AAACTACAATTGGCAAACTACACCATGCATCCCAATCAAGATGTACAACACAAACTTGTTGGTCCAAAGTTTGTTCACCTCATCCAAAACAGTTGCAACATATCACCTCACCCAAATGCGAGTATATAAGACAAGCTGTTTAGTTTAGGCATAAGTAAAACTCTGTTTAGTGTTTTCAGGTTACAGTTGTGTGTGTGTAAACTAAAGTCTTTGAAAATGTAATATGTTATGAACCGCATTCAAGCGTCGCGTCAGACTAGAAATAAAAATGAATTTTGGAGAATTGATTTTTCAATTACCATCGACAGTAAAAAGAAACATGTGAAATATTGAGAAAATTTGTGTTAGAATTATTAATCTTACCTTTTCGGTGATATTTAACAACATATCTTTACAAGAAAGACTGTTACCAAAATATCCTAATATATATATATATATATATATATATATATATATATATATATATATATATATATATATATATATATATATATATATATATATATATATATATGTCGTACCTAATAGCCAGAACGCACTTCTCAGCCTACTCTGCAAGGCCCAATTTGCCTAATAAGCCAAGTTTTCATGAATTAATTGTTTTTCGACGACCTAACCTACCTAACCTAACCTAACCTAACTTTTTCGGCTACCTAACCTAACCTAACATATAAAGATAGGTTAGGTTAGGTTAGGTAGGGTTGGTTAGGTTCGGTCATATATCTACGTTAATTTTAACTCCAATAAAAAAAAATTGACCTCATACATAATGAAATGGGTAGCTTTATCATTTCATAAGAAAAAAATTAGAGAAAATATATTAATTCAGGAAAAATTGGCTTATTAGGCAAATCAGGCCTTGTATAGTAGGCTGAGAAGTGCGTTCTGGCTACTAGGTACGACATATATATATATATGTCGTATCTATTAGCCAGAACGCACTTCTCAGCCTACTATGCAAGGCCCGATTTGCCTAATAAGCCAAGTTTTCATGAATTAATTGTTTTTCGGCTACCTAACCTACCTAACCAAACCTAACCTAACTTTTTCGGCTACCTAACCAAACCTAACCTATAAAGATAGATTAGGTTAGGTTTGGTAGGGCTGGTTAGGTTCGGTCATATATCTACGTTAATTTTAACTCCAATAAAAAAAAATTGACCTCATACATAATGAAATGGGTAGTTTTATCATTTCATAAGAAAAAAATTAGAGCAAATATATTATTTCAGGAAAACTTGGCTTATTAGGCAAATCGGGCCTTGCATAGTAGGCCGAGAAGTGCGTTCTGGCTACTAGGTACGACATATATATATATATATATATATATATATATATATGTCGTACCTAGTAGCCAGAACACACCTTTTGGCCTACTATGCAAGGCCCGATTTGCCTAATAAGCCAAGTTTTCCTGAATTAGTATATTTTTTCTAATTTTTTTCTTATGAAATGATGAATCTACTCATTTCATGATGTATGAGGTAAATTTTTTTTTATTGAAGTTAAAATTAACGTAGATATATGACCGAACCTAACCAACCCTACCTAACCTAACCTAACCTATCTTTATAGGTTAGGTTAGGTTAGGTACCCGAAAAAGGTAGGTTAGGTTAGGTTAGGTAGGTTAGGTAGTCGAAAAACAATTAATTCGTGAAAACTTGGCTTATTAAGCAAATCGGGCCTTGCATAGTAGGCTGAGAAGTGCGTTCTGGCTACTAGGTACGACATATATATATATATATATATATATATATATATATATATATATATATATATATATATATATATATATATATATATATATATATATATATATATATATATATACATATTATTGCTGAGTACACTGTGAGTACACTTTATATTAGTACCTGTGCAACCTGTGTTTTTTTTGTCTACACAACAAGAACTCAGTGTAATCCTTAATAGTTCATTTAAGGATTCAGTGAGAAGTTAATTAGGGGGTAATTAATGTCACCACTGGAAATCACAGTCTGATGGGAGCTATCGTGAGTGGCAGATTTAGTTAACGAAATCGTTCTGGATCTAATTATGTGTCCAGGTGGCAGTAATTAATCACTCAAGTTAATTGGAGGGTAATTAACATCATCAAAGTGAATTCACAGTATTTTGACTAAGCTTTCACGGGTGACAATAACTGAGATAACGTAAGTCGTTCCAGATTAATTATCTGTCAGTAGGATGGTAATTAGTCACTCAAGTTAATTAAGGGTAATTAACATCATCAAAGTGAATTCATATAGTTTGATGGGATCTGTCATGCGTGACGGTACTGAGTAACTAAATACGTTCTGGATGTAATTATCTGTCTGTGTACCAGTAATTAATCACTCAAGTTAATTAGGGGTAATTAACATCAAGTGGATTTGACATAAACTTGGTTGGAAAGCTGTTGAGAGTAACGACTTTGTTTACATAATTCGTTCGCGAATAATTATCTGTTCGTTTACAGTTATTAATGTAATTACTCACTGAATGCTTGAAGGTCCAAGTGACTAAGTAATTATGGTTAGCAAATTAGCGTTCCGATTTGTTTGTGTCTGAGAGACACGATTGTGATTAAAGCAGATTAATTTTTGCTGACAGTTGACAATCAATTAACATAATTAGTCACTGAACTCAATTAGTGTAACTTTTATACTATTGTTTTGATTGTCGTCTTTGGAGACGAGTGTTTAAGTAACTTGGGGTTACCGGAGATTTTATCTCATGACTTGTCTTGCTTTGATTGCATTGTAATTTAATTGCAGCTTCCTGCAAGTGTTTTAATTACAATTTGCGTCCTAAGTGAGCACTCTGATTGTTCAATTAGTTCAGTTATTCAGCGCGAAGCAGCAACAGATAGGATTATGTTGTTATACTTGAGAGCAACATAGACACGAGTTAATGCTACACTTGACTGTTGAGTAGCTGTCTTTAACGTGCCACTTACGGTCATTAAAATAACGTCAAGATTGATGTCTTGTTTTAGATTTAGTTCTTTAAGAATAAATTTGTATTATTGAAAAGAGAACTGTCTTTATGTCAATACTGTTGGAAATTTCCAAGTTATTCTCATCCCTAATACAATAGGATGTATTTCCTGTATTAGGCTTCATAATCATTTAATACATATATACTAATCCTTAGTACAATAGGATGTATTTCCTGTATTAGGCTTCATAATCATTTAATACTCATATACTAATCCTTAGTACAATGGGATGTATTTCCTGTATTAGGCTTCATAATCATTTAATACTCTTTTACTAATCCTTAGTACAATGGGATGTATTTCCTGTATTAGGCTTCATAATCATTTAATACTCATATACTAATCCTTAGTACAATGGGATGTATTTCCTGTACTAAGTGTCATAATTAACTAATACTACTAATCCGTAGTTTAGTATCACAGAATTCACTGCATTAGGATGTGGAACATCATGTAATTCCTCCTAGAATTGTGCAGTGTTGCGTCAGCCACCCACGGAGAATAAATTTCCACATATCTGTAGATCTAATAGAAGTCCAGCCATTTACTTTCCTTTATTAAGGATAATTATTTAGTAACAGGTATACTTTATTTAGTATACAACAGTTTACTGGAATTCCTTTACCCAGCTAGATAGCTGTTCCAGTAAATAATATTATTATATAAAATCATTTCCACCTCCAAACGATTCTCGTATTATTTGTGCAGTCTATATTAACTGACCTGCACTGTGAGAATCAAATATCACATAATGTATTTAATTATAGTATAAACAGTCTTTATAAACACTTCCTTACCTATTTAGAATTTAATGAATTTAAAAGTATTTATGCTCGGCCCCACTGGGACCTTTCGCGCATGCGCGTCCCCCGAGGGGGAAGGAGGACTCTCGCCATATTAGATACACTGGCAGCACGGTGTTCCGAAGCGGTCCTTTTACACCAGACAATTCTGCAAGCATCCGTACATCGTCGGGCTTCAGATTGAGGACGCAGCTTACCAGAATCACGGACACCAGTTCGGCAGGCATTTTTACCTCTTAGTAGTATTTATAGAGCTCTTAAATATGTAACTAATGTAGGTATCCTGTCGTGACGCTGCAGGCCGAATAATAAACCCCATGTGAGTGCTGCTTCCTCCCCTCCATTATTTAGATATTGCATTTATGTGTGTAAATATTAATCTGGAGTCGAAATTATGTAATTTAATTATTGCAGCATGGTGCAACACGACTGAGGAAGCGTGTGACTGTCATATACTCACGTGTTCCAAGGATCACTTCCTTAAGCTGATTCCAGACTGTTGTAGAGATTGGACTCCACCTCCGTCCCTCTGTCACAGCTGAGATTTAATTAGTTTTCATTGTAGATAGTAACTTTTAATTATTGAGAATCAAGGCATTTCTAATCATTGCATATTAATCACATACATGATTTAATCTTTAATATGCAGTAGTATTTCTTGCATTACATTTTACTAATCATTATAATCTATGTGCATGTATATTATCATTATTATTATCATATAATATATGTTTCACGTAGACTAACTTCATAGAAGACCCACCCAAAATGTGTCATGGGAAGCTGGTTCTAGAATGTATAGCATTTAACGGTTCATTGCTTAATAGAGTAATAGAATATAATTACATATAATCATAGAGATCCATAAGTCACTGGTTGTCTCCTTTAACATAGAATTCTGGTCCTTCGAGCTATCTTAGAAATATATATTGTTTTGCATTCATAGAATTATACATTTTATTAGTTTTAAACTAGAATCAGATTTCCCCACAAATACTCTTCCAAGACTATCGCCCGACAAATATTTTGCAACATGTTGAAGTTGTTCTTGCATTCTTTAATGAAGGCCTGATTCTTGATTCGAACCTGGTTCATAGCCACACACTTCAAATTAAACTTGGTGTGAGAACTCGTGAGTAACCCTTAATGGTGCACTTGGCATTTGAGGAACTCAACGACCTAGTAGAGTAGGATTCCAATTATTGGAACCCTGGCAGTTGCTCTCGCCTATCTATTATCAGTACAAGCTGATATATTACAGCTTGTAATATATCAGTAATAACCTGTATAATATATCAGCTTACAGTAATATACTGTATATTACAGTACAATATATTTATTATTAAAGTACAAGCTGCTCTGGTGCAGTCCTTTCTGACTGAGGACATTTGTATTAATGTTTAAATCTTTTCTTAAAGAAAGAATAAGAAGGAAAATTTGTCACAAATAGAGAGGATTAGAAGCTGAGGAAATTAAAACAGTGAGTTATGAGTTGAGTTGTTTTATAGTTTTATTAGTATGAGCCTGGGTGAGACACGCGCGTGGGAAGACAAGGTGGGGGGGGGGAGGGACTATAAGATGCAGAGGCTCTATCTTCCTCCTACGTGTAGTGATGCTACACACGCAAGGAGACAGGTAGCGATGGTAAGCCAGGAGAGTACTCATTAGTGGTCTGTGGTGACGATGGTGCACGCACGCACGCACACAGGCACATACACACACACACACACACACACACACACACACACACACACACACACACACACACACACACACACACACACACACACACACACACACACACACACTCACACACTCACACGCATACACATGAACACACACACAGTTCTTGTCTCCATTCTCAAGGCGAGTAGCCGATATTGGTACCACACTCCTAGAGTACCACACTCCTAGAGTACTACACTCCTAGAGTACCACACTCCTGGAGTACCACACTCCTGGAGTACCGCACTCCTGGAGTACCGCACTCCTAGAGTACCGCACTCCTGGAGTACCGCACTCCTAGAGTACCGCACTCCTAGAGTACCACACTCCTAGAGTACCACACTCCTGGAGCACCGCACTCCTGGAGCACCGCACTCCTGGAGCACCGCACTCCTGGAGTACCGCACTCCTAGAGTACCGCACTCCTAGAGTACCACACTCCTAGAGTACCACACTCCTGGAGTACCACACTCCTGGAGCACCGCACTCCTGGAGTACCACACTCCTGGAGTATCACACTCCTGGAGTACCACACTCCTGGAGCACCACACTCCTGGAGCACCACACTCCTGGAGTACCACACTCCTGGAGTACCACACTCCTGGAGTACCACACTCCTAGAGTACCACACTCCTGGAGTACCACACTCCTGGAGTACCACACTCCTGGAGTACCACACTCCTGGAGTACCACACTCCTGGAGTACCACACTCCTGGAGTACCACACTCCTAGAGTACCACACTCCTGGAGTACCACACTCCTAGAGTACCGCACTTCTAGAGTACCACACTCCTGGAGTACCACACTCCTGGAGTACCGCACAGTACCGCACTCCTGGAGTACCACACTCCTGGAGTACCACACTCCTAGAGTACCACACTCCCACACTGGAGTACCACACTCCTGGTACCGTCCTGGACCACAGTACCACACTCCTGGAGTACCGCACTCCTGGAGTACCGCACTCCTAGAGTACCACACTCCTGGAGTACCACACTCCTGGAGTACCACACTCCTGGAGTACCGCACTCCTGGAGTACCGCACTCCTAGAGTACCACACTCCTAGAGTACCACACTCCTGGAGTACCACACTCCTGGAGTACCACACTCCTAGAGTACCGCACTCCTGGAGTACCACACTCCTGGAGTACCACACTCCTGGAGTACCACACTCCTGGAGTACCACACTCCTGGAGTACCACACTCCTGGAGTACCACACTCCTGGAGTACCGCACTCCTGGAGTACCGCACTCCTAGAGAGTGATACCACTTCACGAAAGCGGTATTGCACTAGGAGCAAGTGGTACCACGCCATGCACAGTCATGTCTTCCTTGCCAGTCATGTCTTCCTGGCCCAGAGAGTGGGTGCCTGCCATTCACCTGCCAACCACAAGTACACAATCATGTCCTTGAACATACCAGAGAGCCACTAGTGAGGACCTTCCATGCTGGCCACACAAGAGTTAAGACCAAGTAGTGCCACCTGGCCCAAGGCAGCCAGGTGGCACTACATGGCCCTGGGCGGCCAGGTGGCACTACATGGCCCTGGGCGGCCAGGTAGCACTACCTGGCCCTGGGCGGCCAGGTGGCACTACCTGGCCCTGGGCGGCCAGGTGGCACTACCTGGCCCTGGGCGGCCAGCGGCCAAGGAGGCGGTGCTCCCGACACTCATAGCATTAAGGGAGTTGATACAAATTGTTATCTTGAACAATGACTACAATTTGGCAGAGTACAAATGCATTTTAATAGAGATTCAAATCGTAGCTTGAAAAACAATAAGTGAAACTAACAAGTATTTGAGCTAACACCTCCGACCCCCCCCCCTGCCCCACCCCCCCTCTTGCTACCTGGGTGGCCATGTCCACCCTTCCTTCACTCCCTCACTACCTGGGTGGCCATGTCCACCCTTCCTTCACTCCCTCTCACTACCTGGGTGGCCATGTCCACCCTTCCTTCACTCCCTCTCACTACCTGGGTGGCCATGTTCACCCTTCCTTCACTCCCTCTCGCTACCTGGGTGGCCATGTCCACCCTTCCTTCACTCCCTCTCGCTACCTGGGTGGCCATGTCCACCCTTCCTTCACTCCCTCTCACTACCTGGGTGGCCATGTCCACCCTTCCTTCATTCCCTCTCACTACCTGGGTGGCCATGTCCACCCTTCCTTCACTCCCTCTCGCTACCTGGGTGGCCATGTCCACCCTTCCTTCACTCCCTCACTACCTGGGTGGCCATGTCCACCCTTCCTTCACTACCTGGGTGGCCATGTCCACCCTTCCTTCACTCCCTCTCGCTACCTGGGTGGCCATGTCCACCCTTCCTTCACTCCCTCTCACTACCTGGGTGGCCATGTCCACCCTTCCTTCATTCCCTCTCACTACCTGGGTGGCCATGTCCACCCTTCCTTCACTCCCTCTCACTACCTGGGTGGCCATGTCCAGGGTCCCAGCCGCCCCCCCCCCAGGTAGCGAGGGGTCACTATGGGGGCCAGAGTTCACTTCCTACTTGTACACTTTATCTAATTATTTCACTCTAAAGGTCCAGCTTTCCAGCCACCACTCTGCACCTGATAATACTCAAGGGGACAAGTCTAGAGTGCCTGGATGAGTGCATATTCCCAGGCGTGCTTGATGCTTGAGGGTGGGGGGGGCAAGTGTTCCCAAGCACTAGGGGGGGGGGGGCGGAAATATCTGCACCTCGAGTGGTGTCTGAGAATCTGGACTGCATAGCTAAAATGATGACCAAGTTTACATAATACTTTAGCAATACCTCCGTCCTTGAGTTAGCAATGTTGACGATGCAACTTGGGTCTAAGAAACACAAATGTACATAGACAAGACATGACAGAAGTGTGGCCAAAATACTGTTCTTAGATAACAATGATAAACCAGAGGAAGAAGAAGAGATGTATTCAATAAGGTGAGAAATAACATTACCTGGAAGTCCTATTACAGAAAATCTCGACCTTAAAGCTAATGGAAGGAGTGTAACTTTGTAACTCACGGGGTATCTCTTGGCCACACTCTTGGCCACACTCTTGGCCACAGTGTTTGTCACGCTGTTGGCCACAGTGTTGGTCACACTGTTGGCCACACTGTTGGCAACACTGTTGGCCATACTATTGGCCACACTGTTGGTCACACTGTTGGTCATACTGTTGGTCACACTGTTGGTCATACTGTTGGTCATACTGTTGGCCACACTGTTGGCCATACTATTGGCCACACTGTTGGCCATACTATTGGCCACACTGACTGCTGCGAAGGACGGGTGAGGTAATAGGTGAGGAACCTCTCCAAAGGTGACGAACCCCTCCACACCTGGGAACACCTCCACACCTGGGAACACCTCCACACCTGGGAAAACTTCCACACCTGGGAACACCTCCACACCTGGGAACCCCTCCACACCTGGGAACACCTCCACACCTGGGAACACCTCCACACCTGGGAACCCCTCCACACCTGGGAACACCTCCACACCTGGGAACACCTCCACACCTGGGAACACCTCCACACCTGGGAACACCTCCACACCTGGGAACCCCTCCACACCTGGGAACACCTCCACACCTGGGAACCCCTCCACACCTGGGAACCCCTCCACACCTGGGAACCCCTCCACACCTGGGAACACCTCCACACCTGGGAACACCTCCACACCTGGGAACCCCTCCACACCTGGGAACACCTCCACACCTGGGAACACCTCCACACCTGGGAACCCCTCCACAGGCGAGAAACCCTTCAAAGGGAAGAGGAACCCTCTCTACATTGGAGAGAGAGGATCAGGAGGCACCCCTCCCACAGGTGAGAGACCTGAGGCACCCACACAAGAGAGGGTTACCTCCCCACAAGAGAGGGTTACCTCCCCACAAGAGAGGGTTACCTCCCTACAAGAGAGGGTTACCTTCCCACAAGTGAGGGTTACCTCCCCACAAGAGGGTTACCTCCCCACAAGAGAGGGTTACCTCCCCACAAGAGAGGGTTACCTCCCCACAAGAGAGGGTTACCTCCCCACAAGAGAGGGTTACCTCCCCACAAGAGAGGGTTACCTCCCCACAAGAGAGAGTTACCTCCCCCACAAGAGAGAGTTACCTCCCTACAAGAGAGAGTTACCTTCCCACAAGAGAGGGTTACCTCCCCACAAGAGAGAGTTACCTCCCCACAAGAGAGGGTTACCTCCCCACAAGAGAGTTACCTCCCCACAAGAGAGTTACCTCCCCACAAGAGAGGATTACCTCCCCTCAAGAGAGGGTTACCTCCCCTCAAGAGAGGGTTACCTCCCCACGAGAGGGTTACCTCCCCACAAGAGAGTTACCTCCCCACAAGAGAGTTACCTTCCCACAAGAGAGGGTTACCTCCCCACAAGAGAGAGTTACCTCCCCACAAGAGAGAGTTACCTCCCCACAAGAGAGTTACCTCCCCACAAGAGAGTTACCTCCCCACAAGAGAGAGTTACCTCCCCACAAGAGAGTTACCTCCCCACAAGAGAGTTACCTCCCCACAAGAGAGTTACCTCCCCACAAGAGAGTTACCTCCCCACAAGAGAGAGTTACCTCCCCACAAGAGAGTTACCTCCCCACAAGAGAGTTACCTCCCCATAAGAGAGTTACCTCCCCACAAGAGAGTTACCTCCCCACAAGAGAGTTACCTCCCCACAAGAGAGAGTTACCTCCCCACAAGAGAGTTACCTCCCCACAAGAGAGTTACCTCCCCATAAGAGAGTTACCTCCCCACAAGAGTGTACCTCCCCACAAGTTACCACCCCACAAGAGAGTTACCTCCCCACAAGAGAGTTACCTCCCCACAAGAGAGAGTTACCTCCCCACAAGAGAGAGTTACCTCCCCACAAGAGAGTTACCTCCCCACAAAAGAGTTACCTCCCCACAAGAGAGAGTTACCTCTCACAAGAGAGAGTTACCTCCCCACAAGAGAGTTACCACCCCACAAGAGAGTTACCTCCCCACAAGAGAGAGTTACCTCCCCACAAGAGATACCTCCCCACAAGAGAGTTACCACCCCACAAAAGAGTTACCTCCCCACAAGAGTTACCTCTCCACAAGAGAGTTACCTCTCCACAAGAGAGTTACCTTCCCACAAGAGAGTTACCTCCCCACAAGAGAGGGTTACCTTCCCACAAGAGAGGGTTACCTCCCCACAAGAGAGGGTTACCTTCCCACAAGAGAGGGTTATCTCCCCACAAGAGAGGGTTACCTTCCCACAAGAGAGGGTTACCTCCCCACAAGAGAGTTACCACCCCACAAGAGAGTTACCTCCCCACAAGAGAGTTACCTCCCCACAAGAGAGTTACCTCCCCACAAGAGAGTTACCTCCCCACAAGAGAGTTACCACCCCACAAGAGTTACCTCCCCACAAGAGAGGGTTACCTCCCCACATGAGAGAGTTACCTCCCCACAAGAGAGAGTTACCTCCCCACAAGAGAGAGTTACCTCCCCACAAGAGAGTTACCTCCCCACAAGAGAGTTACCTCCCCACAAGAGAGTTACCTCCCCACAAGAGAGTTACCTCCCCACAAGAGAGTTACCACCCCACAAGAGAGTTACCTCCCCACAAGAGAGAGTTACCTCCCCACAAGAGAGTTACCTCCCCACAAGAGAGTTACCTCCCCACAAGAGAGTTACCTCCCCACAAGAGAGTTACCTCCCCACAAGAGAGTTACCTCCCCACAAGAGTTACCTCCCCACAAGAGAGTTACCTCCCCCACAAGAGAGTTACCTCCCCACAAGAGAGTTACCTCCCCACAAGAGAGTTACTACCCCACAAGAGAGTTACCTCCCCACAAGAGAGTTACCTCCCCACAAGAGTTACCACCCCACAAGAGTTACCTCCCCACAAGAGAGGGTTACCTCCCCACATGAGAGAGTTACCTCCTCACAAGAGAGAGTTACCTCCCCACAAGAGAGAGTTACCTCCCCACAAGAGAGTTACCTCCCCACAAGAGAGTTACCTCCCCACAAGAGAGTTACCTCCCCACAAGAGAGTTACCACCCCACAAGAGAGTTACCTCCCCACAAGAGAGAGTTACCTCCCCACAAGAGAGTTACCTCCCCACAAGAGAGTTACCTCCCCACAAGAGAGTTACCTCCCCACAAGAGAGTTACCTCCCCACAAGAGAGTTACCTCCCCACAAGAGAGTTACCTCCCCACAAGAGAGTTACCTCCCCACAAGAGAGTTACCTCCCCACAAGAGAGTTACTACCCCACAAGAGAGTTACCTCCCCACAAGAGTTACCTCCCCACAAGAGAGTTACCTCCCCACAAGAGAGTTACCTCCCCACAAGAGAGTTACCTCCCCACAAGAGAGTTACCTCCCCACAAGAGAGTTACCTCCCCACAAGAGAGTTACTACCCCACAAGAGAGTTACCTCCCCACAAGAGAGTTACCTCCCCACAAGAGAGTTACCTCCCCACAAGAGAGTTACCTCCCCACAAGAGAGTTACCTCCCCACAAGAGAGTTACCTCCCCACAAGAGAGTTACCTCCCCACAAGAGAGTTACCTCCCCACAAGAGAGTTACCACCCCACAAGAGAGTTACCTCCCCACAAGAGAGTTACCTCCCCACAAGAGAGTTACCTCCCCAGAAGAGAGTTACCTCCCCACAAGAGAGTTACCTCCCCACAAGAGAGTTACCACCCCACAAGAGAGTTACCTCCCCAGAAGAGAGTTACCTCCCCACAAGAGAGGGTTACCTCCCCACAAGAGAGAGTTACCTCCCCACAAGAGAGAGTTACCTCCCCACAAGAGAGGGTTACCTCCCCACATGAGAGAAGGGTCTGGAGGTTCCCCCCAGGTGAGAGGGGGGAGGGGGGAGGAGGCCCCCCTCCCTGTTTCAGGAGCCTCAGTTACTATGCTCTAGGGCCCATCGTGCCTCCACTGATCCAGTCATTTGTAATTAATTTTATTAATTAAATTTAAAAAAATTATTAAATAGCAGTTTATAAATACATAAATGGGTAAAGTAATTAGTGTATATAATTATCCTCATACACCTAGTCATCTAGTTTCTTATCATCTACTGTCAAAGTGTTATACGACAAAGAGTACTGGGAAGACGGGACACCACGAGTGTAGCTCTCATCCTGTAACTACACTTAGGTTACCTTAAGTAACCAAGTGTACCACAAGTGAGAAGTGTACCATCAGTGTACACCACAAGTGATTGGTGTACCATCAGTGTACACCACAAGTGAGTGGTGTACCATCAGTGTACACCACAAGTGAGTGGTGTACCATCAGTGTACACCACAAGTGAGTGGTGTACCATCAGTGTACACCACAAGTGAGTGGTGTACCATAAGTGTACACCACAAGTGAGAGGTGTACCATAAGTGTATACCACATGTGAGAGGTGTACCATAAGTGTACACCACAAGTGAGTGGTGTACCATCAGTGTACACCACAAGTGAGTGGTGTACCATCAGTGTACACCACAAGTGAGTGGTGTACCATCAGTGTACACCACAAGTGAGAGGTGTACCATCAGTGTACATCACAAGTGAGAGGTGTACCATCAGTGTACACCACAAGTGAGAGGTGTACCATTAGTGTACACCACAAGTGAGAGGTGTACCATCAGTGTACACCACAAGTGAGAGGTGTACCATCAGTGTACACCACATGTGAGAGGTGTACCATCAGTGTACACCACAAGTGAGAGGTGTACCATCAGTGTACACCACAAGTGAGTGGTGTACCATCAGTGTACACCACAAGTGAGAGGTGTACCATCAGTGTACACCACAAGTGAGAGGTGTACCATCAGTGTACACCACAAGTGAGAGGTGTACCATCAGTGTACATCACAAGTGAGAGGTGTACCATCAGTGTACATCACAAGTGAGAGGTGTACCATCAGTGTACACCACAAGTGAGAGGTGTACCATTAGTGTACACCATAAGTGAGAGGTGTACCATCAGTGTACACCACAAGTGAGAGGTGTACCATCAGTGTACACCACATGTGAGAGGTGTACCATCAGTGTACACCACAAGTGAGAGGTGTACCATCAGTGTACACCACAAGTGAGTGGTGTACCATCAGTGTACACCACAAGTGAGAGGTGTACCATCAGTGTACACCACAAGTGAGAGGTGTACCATCAGTGTACACCACAAGTGAGTGGTGTACCATCATCGTTTTATCAAAATACGTCACAATTCGCATTTTTAGGATCTTTAAGATCAATAAGTTACTTTATACTCTTAGAGATCAGCCTCTACGTCCTTCTTGTTGGTAACATGACCTTAAAGACGCCCCAAGTGAGAACACGTGAGAACAAGTGGAAGACGCTCCAAGTGAGAACACGTGAGAACAAGTGGAAGACGCTCCAAGTGAGAACACGTGAGAACAAGTGGAAGACGCTCCAAGTGAGAACACGTGAGAACAAGTGGAAGACGCCCCAAGTGAGAACACGTGAGAACAAGTGGAAGACGCCCCAAGTGAGAACACGTGAGAACAAGTGGAAGACGCCCCAAGTGAGAACACGTGAGAACAAGTGGAAGACGCCCCAAGTGAGAACACGTGAGAACAAGTGGAAGACGCCCCAAGTGAGAACACGTGAGAACAAGTGGAAGATGCTCCAGGTGCTATTGTCTAGATCATATAGTGTTAATGAAACCTTTGGTGAAGAGAGGACTGTTATAGGTTGATGGTGATGGCAATATAATACACATAATACACTCTCCCTCATTTATGTATCTAATCTACACATTTGTTGTTTGAAAGATTGACAGGTAATGAAATAAGATTTTGTCACACGCTGGGCGGTTCTTCTCCTGACAGCCAGACCCGTCAGTGATCACAGCGCCCCAGCAGGTACCGAGTGGGTTGAGCTCGTACTGTCGGGGGTCACGACCACTGCTGAGGGGTAACGTCCACTGATGGTGGTCACGACCACTGGTGGTGGTCACGACCACTAGTGGTGGTCACGACCACTGGTGGTGGTCACGACCACTGGTGGTGGTCACGACCACTGGTGGTGGTCACGACCACTGGTGGTGGTCACGACCACTTGTGGTGGTCACGACCACTGGTGGTGGTCACGACCACTGGTGGTGGTCACGACCACTGGTGGTGGTCACGACCACTGGTGGTGGTCACGACCACTGGTGGTGGTCACGACCACCGGTGGTCAGGAAACGCCCTTTGGTGGCGTATGACCGTGGCTCGGGGGCTGATAGGGGGAATGTGGGAAACTCGGGGCCACCATTACAACACTAAAATCTCCTTCCGGTATAACATAAGAATCTAGCTAGTTTACTTTCAGGTCTATCTACATACACAAGGCTACTGTATTGCCTGTCTGGACGACGGGAGAGGTCTCTCCAAAGTTCCGTATCACATCGAAGGCCGTGGTGCAGACCTGTCCTTGCAAATGGAGGAACACTCACCCAATCAGAAAACATTTCATGCATTTTTTGTTTTCTCTGCCATTCCACGGGACAAAAAAGATACTGGGAACCACCTTGAGCGTGTTGTCCAAGCCATTGCACCAGAGTTTAACAAAAATATGCAGTCGCTCGTAGGTATCCATATGAATTATTGCAAAAGTCACTCAATAGTGTTTGTTTATATTTATGAAGCGGCGAGAGCGAGTGTGTGGCGGCTGCGCCTTCTACATTAGCACAACTACAGCCGCCCCTCACAGGACAGCTACAGCCGCCCCTCACAGGACAGCTACAGCCGCCCCTCACAGGAGAGCTACAGCCGCCCCTCACAGGACAGCTACAGCCGCCCCTCACAGGACAGCTACAGCCGCCCCTCACAGGACAGCTACAGCCGCCCCTCACAGGATAGCTACAGCCGCCCCTCACAGGACAGCTACAGCCGCCCCTCACAGGAGAGCTACAGCCGCCCCTCACAGGACAGCTACAGCCGCCCCTCACAGGAGAGCTACAGCCGCCCCTCACAGGAGAGCTACAGCCGCCCCTCACAGGAGAGCTACAGCCGCCCCTCACAGGACAGCTACAGCCGCCCCTCACAGGAGAGCTACAGCCGCCCCTCACAGGAGAGCTACAGCCGCCCCTCACAGGACAGCTACAGCCGCCCCTCACAGGATAGCTACAGCCGCCCCTCACAGGACAGCTACAGCCGCCCCTCACAGGACAGCTACAGCCGCCCCTCACAGGACAGCTACAGCCGCCCATCACAGGACAGCTACAGCCGCCCCTCACAGGACAGCTACAGCCGCCCCTCACAGGACAGCTACAGCCGCCCCTCACAGGACAGCTACAGCCGCCCCTCACAGGACAGCTACAGCCGCCCCTCACAGGACAGCTACAGCCGCCCCTCACAGGACAGCTACAGCCGCCCCTCACAGGACAGCTACAGCCGCCCCTCACAGGACAGCTACAGCCGCCCCTCATAACAGAGGAGGAGGAAAGTAGAGGGGGTTCTCCCCTTGACTTACATAACGCGGTGTGTGACAAACACACCAACAAGAAAGATATGTATTGCGATGCCTTCACTACGAGTGGCTCTTCGTGTCCACCTGTCTGCTTCCTGGAGAGCAGCAGACGGCAGGTGTGTACCGTCAGCGCCTCTGCGTGAGACTGCTCCTGCATCACTCCTTCACCTGACACCTCACCAGCAGCGTGAACAACTACCTCCTGCACCGAGCGATGTTGGTGAACACTAACACGGGTGGCGGGGCTGACTCCCTCTACTGTAATCTCTGATACTCTTTGCCCTCAAACCTCTTCTTGAGAGCCTTGATCTTGCTCTCTCCTTTCGTCTGCCTCACTCGCTTCTCGTTGGTTTCCGGTTTTTTGTCGCATATTTCTTTTCTTCTCACTCCTTTACTTTCGGGTTCTTTCTTTTTAGAATTGGTTGACTTGACCGACTTGGCGGATTTGACCGATTTGACAGTGCCAGTACTCTTGTTGGACGTGGTGCTCTTGTTGGAAGCATTGCTTCTGCTTGACACTGAACTTTTGGTGGACATTCCGCTCTTGACAGAGGAGGCACTCTTGACGGAGGAGGCACTCTTAACGGAGGAGGCACTCTTGTAAGAGGTGATGCTGTGCGCGGACGAACTGCTTCTGACGGAGGCGCTG